TATTGAGAATATTCAGTTTAGATGTGTACCATATTTTAATGGCTTGTTTTCTCCATGTCTAGATTTTTTTAATTCGTTATATATTTTGAACATAGCCCTCTATCAGATGTGTAGTTGGTAAAAACAAAAGCAAAAAACTCCTATTCTGTTGGTTGCCACTTTTTACGAATGATGGTGTCTTTTGCCTTGCAGAAGCTTTTCAGTTTCATGAGGTCCCACTTATTAATTGCTGATTTTAGTGCCTGTGCTAACGATGTTCTGTTCAGAATGCCTTTTGCCATGACAATGAGTTCAAGGCTATTGCCCACTTTCATGTTTCAGTATATCTGGTTTTATGTTGAGATCTTTGATCCATTTGGAGTTGAACTTTGTGTGGGGTGATAAGTATGGATCTATCTGGATTCCTCTATAAGCAAGGGTCCAGTTTGACCAGCACCATTTGTTAAAGATGTGTCTCTTTTTTTCCAGTGTGTGTTTCTGACTTCTTTATCAAAAAGCATGTGTCTATAGGTGTGTGAGTCTATGTCTGGGTCTTCAGTTCAAATCCATTGATCAACATGTCTGTTTTTGTGCCAGCACGATGTGGTTTTTATTACTATAGCTCTGTAGTACAATTTGAGATTGGATATGGTGATACTTTCAGCAGTTCTTTTATTGTTCCGGATTGTTTTAGATATCCTGAGTTTTTATGTTTCCATATGAAGCTGAAATTTTTCCTTTTACTATCTGTGAAGAATTGTGTTGGAATTTTAATGGGGATTGCATTAAATCTGTAAATTGCTTTTGGTGGAATGGCCTTTTTTACTATATTAATTCTTCTCATCCATGAGCATGGGAGATATTTCCATCTTCTGTTATCTTCTTCAATTTCTTTCTTCAAAGACTTGAAATTTTTGTCATATAAGTCTTTCACTTGCTTGGTTAGAGTTACCACAAGATATTTTATATTATTTGAGGATATTGTGAAAGGTATTGTCTCCCTGATGTTTGGGTTTTCTTTTCTTTTCTTTTCTCTTTGGCAAACCATTTGTCATTTGTATATAGGATAGCTACAGATTTTATGAATTAATTTTTTAAAGGTTTATTTATTTATTTATTTATTATGTATACAGTGTTCTGTCTGCATGTATCTTTGCAGGCCAGAAGAGGGTACCAGATCTCATTACAGGTAGTGAGCCACCATGTGGATCCTGGAAATTGAACTCAGAACCTCGAAGAACAACCAGTGTTCTTAACCTCTGAACCATCTCTCCAGCCCATGAGTTAATTTTGTGCCCAGGTACTTTGCTGAAAGTGTTTATCAGCTGTAGGAGCTTCCTGATGTAAATTTTAGAATCACTTATGTATACTATCATATCATCTTCAAATAAAGATACTTCAACTTCTTCTTTTCCAATTTGAATCCCCTTGATCTTCTTCAGTTGTCTTATTATTCTAGCTAAGACTTCAAGTATTATATTGAATAGGCATGGAAAGAGTGGAAATCCTTGTCTTGTTCCTGATTTTAGTGGTTTGTTTCCTGGAGGCAGCAGAAGGATGAATCCTGTTTTTGATTTGATTCTGTTAGTCTGTGTCTTTTTATTGGGGAATTGAGACCATTGGTGTTGAAATATCCATAAGCAGTATTTATTGATTCCTGTTATTTTGGTGGTATTGTGTGTGTGTGTGTGTGTGTGTGTGTGTGTGTGTGTGTGTGTGTTTCCTCTCTTCTTACTTGCTAGTTGGGATTATTTATTCCCTGTGTTTTGGGGAAATGGTTAATCTCTCTAGTTTGGAATTTGCTTTCTAGTGCCTTCTATAAAGCTTGATTTGTAGAAAGATTTTGCTTAAGTTTGGGTTTATCATGGAATGCATTATTTTCTCCATCTATGGTGATTGACAGTTTTGTGGGTATTTCATTCTGGGTTGGCATCTGTGATCTCTTAAGAGTCTATAGAACATCCACACAGGCCCTTCTAGCTTTTAGAGTCTCCATTGAGAAGTCAAGTGTTATTCTAATAGGTCTGCCTTTATTTGTTACTCACTCTTTATCTCTTGTAGGTTTTAATATTATTTCTTTGTTCTGTATGTTTAGTATTTTAATTATAATGTGCTGAGGGAAATTTCTTTTCTGGTCCAGTCTATTTGGTGTTCTATATGCATTTGTACTTTAATAGGAATCACCTTCTTTGGATTAGAGAAACTTTTTTCATGATTTTCTTAAAATTTTCTTTGACCTGGGTTTCTTCTCCTTCTTCTATTCCTACTGTTCTTAGATTTGGTCTTTTCATAGTGTCCCAGATTTCCTGATGTTTTGTATCTGTGTTTTTTTCTTTTCTTCTTACTCAATGAAGATTTAACATTTTCTTTGACCAAGGTATCAATTTCTCCTATTCTGTCTTCACTGTCTGAGATTCTCTCTCTGTCTCTTGTATTCTGTTAGTGAGGCTTGCCTCTGAGGTTCCTGTTTGAGTGCCTAAATTTTTCATTTCCAGTTTTATTTTAGTTTGAGTTTTCTTTATTGGCTGTATTTCCACTTTTAAATCTTGAACTGTTTTATTCATTTCCTCCCACTGTTTGTGTTTCCATAGATTTCTTTAAGGGATTTATTCATTTACTCATTAAGGACCTCTATCATATTCATAAGGGCTGTTTTAAGGTCTTAGTCTTGTGCTTCTGGTATGCTGCATTCTTGGGGCCTACTGGTAGGGTTGCCAGGCTGTGGAGATATACAATCCTGGCTATTAATTGTTTGTATTTTTATGCTGGTGTCTACTGTAATTCTAGATGCTGATATCTGGTCATGTCTTTGTTAGGCAGTTGGTCTGTTCCTTGGTTTCTGTTGCCCTCTCTGGTTTTGAGAAGGTTGTGGTGGCTATGGGTTGCCTGGTTAGGGAATTCCAGGATCCTGAGTGGTGTGGCCCCGGGGGTGGAGGTGGAGGGGCTCTAGGAAATATATATTTCTGGGTATTGGTATTGGGTATTGGAGATAGGCTGGGGTAAGCTGAGGGAGTCTACAGGAGGGAGGGTGCTCTAGAAGGATCTGTTTAGTCCCCTGGAAATGGCATCAGAGAGTGAGGAGAAGCCACAACAGGTAGTCTACTGCAAAGCTGGGGATGAGACTGGGGATCGGATATGGAGGAGAGTGGGGAGACTGAAGACCTGAAGCTTGCCTGCCTGCTTCTCTGGCGAGTTTGGCTAGTGGATTCCCAGGGAATACCTGCTGGAGTTAGGGGCTGGGATAACAAGATGAGTGGGGGGAGGGTTGGAGGAGAAGATCTACATGATCAACTGGAGATGATCAACTGGGCAGAGAGAAGGGAGAGGCTGCAGCAGGTGGTCTACAGAGATGGGGGTAAGATTGAGGATTGGCCTCAAAGGAGAGGGAAGAGAGGTGAAGATCTGCAGTTAGCCTGATCATCTCCTTCACCTGCATGGCTGACATGTTCCCAAGAAATCAACTTAAATGGAATGGCATGTTATGGACCTTTCAATATATTTCAGGAGTATATTTACATATTGCTGAACTTTGAACCATTAAATACTGATATGTTACAGTGCTATTCATATCAAAATGTGTTTGGATTATTTTAAGACTTTTTTTAAATTTTCAATTATGAATATGTTGTGATTATACACATGTCTGTGCAGGTGTCTAAGGAGGCCAGAGGAGTCAGAGGTCTCTGGAGCTGGAATTAGAGGCAGTTGCGTGTAGCCCAGTGTGGGTACAGGAACTGAACTCTGTCCTCTACAAGGTGCTCCTTATTAAGAGTCCAAAGTGTGTCTGCTGTTAAATTAGAAAAAGAGCAAATACACTGTCTCCATGAAAGAGCCATGATGGTTCCTTCTGTTCTTTTTCAGTATTGGTGGCATTCCGAGTCTTTTTGTTGATTCTACTTCTATTCCATGTGTATGTGGGCACTCAGGCACACTCGTGTTCAAATTCACCACACACACACATACATATACACATACATACATACATGAACACACACACACAACAGGGTTTCCCTGTGGCTTTGGAGGCTGACCTGGAATTAGCTCTTGTAGACCAGGCTGGTCTCGAACTCACAGAGATCCGCCTGCCTCTGCCTCCCGAGTGCTGGGATTAAAGGCGTGCGCCACCAACGCCCGGCTTCTATTTTATTTTCAAACAATGTTAAAATGTTTATAAACAGTTTGGTTTGACCTGGCATTGGTGGCACACGCCTTTAATCCCAGCACTCGGGAGTCAGAGGCAGATAGATCTCTGTGGGTTCTATGTCAGCCTAGTCTACAAAGCTACACAGAGAAACCCTGTCTCAAAAAAATTTAAAAAAAAAAAGGAATATCAGAACAGTACTGACTCTAAAGTTTGCCCTCCACTTTGGGGAAGACCACTGGTGGATGAACTGTGTATTTGCCCTGCCTATCTGGTAGGAAGAGACTGTGACTGTCTTCCTTCTCCTGGCACAGTTACTGTTCTCTGCTCAGTCAGAGGCCTTGAAGGTCTTCATTGTTCTGTCCTGTGATCCCTGCCCATCTTCCTTTTAACAGACTCATCGCTAACATTTATCAGGTAGCCTCCTGGGTCATGTCTCTTCTTTGTGTCACAGCCTAGAACTCTTTCATGAAAGACAGCTGGAACACTTGAGAGACTACCTTCATTTGTTCCTATACCAGACAAATCATCATCTTCCAAATTGCTGTTTCATGTGCTGTTTGTGTTTGGGTTCCTCAGGTAAAGATGAAATCTGCACCTTTCACTCTACTGTGGATGGAAGCATTTTGCAGTGGAGTCTCAGTAATGTGTTGTGGTGTAGTGTGCTCTTTACCCTCTGCCTAATTGACTTCTGTCTTCCTGCATTCCTCAGCATAGCCTTTCTCTTTCTCTGAACAGTATTCCAGGATTTATTGCAGATCAAGTACCCTTAGGTGATAGCAGACATTTTCTTACAGCATCTATCAGAATTTATAATGGTTATTTTATTAATCTTTGCTTCTCCACTAGACTTTAAACAATGGCAGGATTTCTTTCTTCATTTTAGCTGCAGACCCTAGTATCCTGTGTTGTATATTGTAGACATCCAGTATGCATTTGTTCAGTTTAGGAATGAGTGAACACTGTGTGTAGTTCTTCTCTGGTACAGAAACCTGAAATTCTGGGAGTTGGTCACCTGGAAAGGAAACCCACACACAATTCCCTTCAGAAACTGTAGTTTGTTAGGAGAAAGAGCCTCCAAGCTAGAGAGAGAACATTAGACAAAACAGTACAATATATAGAGATCTAAATATGTTAAGGCCTTAAAGGGAAGAAGCAGCTTGGCTTTCAACCCTGGAGTGAGAGTAAAGCCAAGGGAGGCAGCACACGCTTTTGTCCCAGCAGAGGCAGGTTGGTCTCTGAGTTTGAGGCCAGCCTGGACTACGTAGTATTATTTGCTCTGCCTCAGAAATAAAAGAGTGAGGATGAGGAAGAGAAAGAGAAAGGGAGGGCTGTCATAGCAGTCTTCAGAGCTCTTCCCAGTGCAAAATCCCAAGAACAAAGCAAGGATCAGACTTGTGTAATTCGAGGGAAGGGAGACATCTGGCAGGGAGACTCGCTTGGAATGATGTAGTTCAGCATTATAAAGAGAAGGGCAGAGACTAGAAGCATGAATGAAGAGCTGTCAAGTCACTGGACAGACTGCTAACCTCTATCCCAGAGAGAGCTGCGAGGAAGTGGGCCTCCTCCTCAGGCTGCGGGATTTGCCTTGCTTTTATTTGCCTATTTGTTTTCTAAAGAGAGAAAGAAAGGTGGTGTGGAATTGGATGGGTGGGAAGGTGTGGAGGATCTGGGAGAAGACGAGGTAGGGACGTGGGGGAGGAGGGGGAATGGTGATCAGAATACATTCTATAAAAAATAATCTATTTAAAAACTTTTTTGTTGGGGCTGGAGAGATGGCTCAGTGGTTAAGAGCACTGCCTGCTCTTCCAAGGTCCTGAGTTCAATTCCCAGCCACCACATGGTGGCGCACAACCATCTGTAGTGAAATCTGGTGCCCTCTTCTGGCCTGCAGAAATACATGCAGGCAGAATATTGTATACATAATAAATAAATAAATAAATAAATAAATAAATCTTTTAAAAAAATGTTTTCTTGGTTTTTCGAGACAGGATTTCTCTGTGTAGCCTTGGCTGTCCTGTAACTCATTCTATAGACCAGACTGGCCTGGAACTCACAGAGATCCACCTGCTTCTGCCTCCCAAGTGGTGGGATTAAAGGCGAGCACCACCACCGCCAGGTTATTTTCAATTTAAAAAACAAAAGTGACCACTGTCTATCTTACAGAGGCAGACCTGTGTTCTAACAGACAGCAAACAGAAACTGAAAATAAGCCCTGTGAGCTACTTACAAGGAAAACTGGAAACAAGGAGCATGGTGTAGCTGAAGAAAAAGTGATGAAAACAGAGCCAGTGAGATCCAGGTTAGACCACAAAAGCCTGAGAGGGAAGAGCCCTGCAGTTTGGGGTTGATTGGTTTTGAGGAGATGATGAAGACTTACTTTCTATGGCAGATGTTGGGGGAGTAGGATCTATATAACTGATGACTATATAACCAACACCTCTGGGGTTTTGAATAGGAGAAACTTCCTTGTTTTGTGAAGTGTGAAATCCTTGCAAATGCCATAACAGGCCATTGCCCCTACATATTTCCAATAATTAGGTGCATATTGTTGCAAGCACAACTTTAACAGCTCTATAGGAGCCTATGGCATAGAAGTCTTGTTGCTTACTCAGCAATGAGAATTTGGCAGTTCTTTTCATGTAATTTTTAAAGGAATGATGTAGAAGAAACTCAAGGTAAGGGAGTTGATGGTATAAAGGATTTGTTGATAAATTTGCTTAGGAGACATTTAAAAGGGAGAATTTAGCTAAGGGAGCACAGCCCCCCAATATAAAAACATTTATGATGCTAGGATGTAAGCTATTGGGCCCATCCTCTAAGAACATGCTCAAGGGGGTCATGTAGAGTCACAACCATCCTCAAGTTCTGGTGTGCCTTTAAGTCCCTTGTGCTTTTAGCAGGAAAAACAAAATTCTACCACATGGTCATGATGATCCTGGGTAACAATGATTCAAAAGAGAACACTGATGTACTTAAGAAATAATTCTGGCAATATCTTTGCTGTGTAAACCTCCATCTGCCTACATGGCCAGGTTTACAGTCCTCAGTCTCTGTTTAAATTGTTTAGAGTGTAACCTACAGCCAGGACCTAAAAGAGATTTAAGGATGACAGAGTATGAAAATGCATAAGCCTATGGTATATATAGGTTAGTGAAGCCTTCCGTTCAAGGCTGGCTGTTGCTGGGGCATCGGCCAGAGCTGGACAGGCTCATCCTTCATCTCTAAGCATGATTCTTCACTGGGAAAGCATGCTATCTATTATAGGGATGCTATTTATATATTGTTTTCTGTGTTTTTAATTATCTTCTAATGATTTTTTCTGTAGAATTATTGCCTTAAAGTATAGGAGCTTCTTTAAAAAATAACTGACTTTAATCAATAAGTGGAATGTGATGGCTCACACCTTTAATCTCATCCCTGAGGAGACTTCAGTCAGAAACATAATGGAAGGTGAATGCCAGCTTGGGCTACATAATGAGTTCCATCCAACACTGAACTATAAGACCCTGTCTTTAAAATAAAAATAAATAGAAATATAAAGAGGATTTTGATCTATTTGCCTAAGTTGTTCTCACAAAAGCTGTATTAACTTACCACAAGAGTAAGAAGCTGTCATTTTCTCAAACCGAAGTTTTTAATCCATGCAGTGGTGCTCTTCATTTATTTATTTTTGGTGTTGGAGATTACACTTTATGTTCGTGAGGCCAGCACATAGTGCTGAGTTGAACCCCAGTTATCCTTTTGGGGTGTGTGTGTGTGTGTGTGTGTGTGTGGATGTGTGGGGGGTGGGGGTGGGTGGGTGTTTGCCTGCATGTATGTATGTGTACTACATAGCAGGCTGAGAGACCAGAAGAGGCATTGGGTCCCCTGGAACTGAAATTACAGACAATTGTGAGGGGCCATGTGGGTGCTGGGAACCTAACCCAGTTCCTCTGCAAGGGGCCAGCATTCCTAACCACTGAACCTCTCTTCGGGCCCAACACCTTTGTTCTTGACATGTATTAACTAGAGTAGATGACCAATTAATTTATTCAATACCTCTCTCACTGATAAAATAAAATCAACTTTCTATGTTGAAAGAACAAGATAGTTACTATTGAATCAATTGATCTTGTATTGATTTTTAAATTGCTTATTAAAATAATAAGATGAATTGCAAGCATTAGTAAAAGGTAAAATAGGCTCCCTAGTCTTGCCTTGAATTCTAATAATGTGCAAATGCTCATTGTTTGAAAGTTTTGGAAGGATTCTTTTACACTGTAAATCATTTGAGGGGTGCATGTTATGTTTTATAAAAATAAAATTTTATTTCTAGTTAATTCACATACTTGTTTACAAGCAATAACTTTTAGGAATTAAATTTCTATTACCTGTTGTTATTAGGGGTTATGTAGAAAATTATGTCAAATCATAACTTTCAATTTGTCAAATTGATGAATAGTTTCAAGATGGCTTTTCCAAAATAATTACCAAAGTTTCTCTTAACAGAAACTTATCAGTCAAGAAAACATTCCTTCATTATTACCTTCCCAATATATATGATCTCTGGAAAAGATTGAAGTCAGGAATTGAAAACATGAGATCTAGAAAAAGTATTGGAACATAGATATTAGGATATGAAGTCAGGATATTGACTTGTTAGAATAATGAAAAGCAGAGTCAAGCAGTGGACATTTAAAAAAAAGAATTTTAAGTTAAGTATATTTAACTACAGAGTTGCATTAAAATAAAGGGAGAAGAAAGAAAATAAAAGAGAGAAGTCACAGTTGCCAGGAAAAGATGGACTTTATACTAGAGACACTGAAAATCAACATTATGGCATGGCTCTGGGGATCCTGCACATGAAAGCAAAACAGATTTGGGATCAGGTAAACTAGTTGCTTACTATTAATTACTCTTAATGTGTGTGACTTTATTTCATCAATATTTGTTACAATGTCTCTGATTAATTTGCATATATGTGTGTATATCATTAGGCAGTATAACCTGCATGACTATCATTGTGTGTATGGTCCATTGTCATGAGGTCCATGGCTCTATTATATAAGAGTTTAACAAAATGTTACTACAGGGTCTGGATGGGTGGCTCAGTGGCTAAGAGCATCGTGTTCTTCCAAAAGACCCGAGTTCAGTTCCTGACACTCACGTTGACCATTTTAAAACCACCTGTAGCTCCAGCTCCAGGGTATCTGATATCTTCGTATTGCCTCTAGGAACCCTTGCATGTATGACATACACACAAGGGCATATAAAAAATTTTAATTGAAATCCAAGGAAATGTCACCTTACCCTAAAATAAAATAATGGCATTTATAGCTAAATAGCTACAGTAAATCTTGCAATGAGTTTTATCATTGTACTGTCATAAATGTTAATTTGGGGCATTTTTATGCCAAAATTCAGGCTCATTAGCTTTACAACTGTGAAGAAGCTTATGCTGTGTTTCATAAAGAAATTCACTTCACAGTAGTGTCTGTGCCTGTATGAAGAAATTGCTTTCGCTCTGTGACCAGGTTCCCTGTGTTTTACACAGTTAGAATATGGTTCATTCAATGTGGAGTGAATGTCCCAGAGCATGAACTGGCTACTTTCTTTGGATAGATTTTTGAAAGTTCCATATTTAATTAAGTTTTTAGGCTTTTTGCCACCAATGATGTGGGGTTAAAACTTCATGAAAGCATACCTTTAAACTGTGAAGAAGAAAACAGCACTGACCGGCAACTTTTAGAGAACCAAATGCCAGATTCTTACAAGGTTGCATTTTGCAAAATCACCATGGCAAACAAAAGATGTTAAATGCACAAAAGAAAACCAGAGCATTTTTTACCAGTCATTTTCAGATGACTAACGTGTTGGTATGTGAATAAGCACATGTTTTAGAAAGGAAACTGTGCATGGTGCAAAGTACAGAGAATTTTTAGATTTCCTTTTTATTTTTATTTTATTTGTATGTGTACTACATGCATGCCTGGTGCCCACAGAGGCCAGAGGAGGGCATTGAATCCTGTTGCTATTATTGATGATTGTGAGCCACTATGTGGGTGCTGAGAACCCAACCTGGATCCTCTGGAAGAGCAGTAATTACTCTTAACCACTGAGCATCTCTCCAGCCATCTGTGGGCATATGTAATACATTTGGGATGGTAGAGGCATGTTTTCCCATTGAACAAGCTGATATTCTTCAATGCTCAGTCTGCAGCAGTTAAATATTAACATTCATGACAGCCTCGCCAAAGCAAAGGTTTGAATGTTTCTCACAGGAGCTGATTTCCATGATCGTAAACCCCTTGCCACCAATGATGGATTTTCTAGTTTGTGACAGTGATTCTACTCCCTTGATGTGTCCATCTGGAAGGGTGCTTCCTACTTTACTACTGCAACTACTAAGGAAAGCCGACACATAACAGCCAGCAAATACCATGTTTTCAAATCATCAATTCCTTTACAAAGAAAAAAATCCCTATTTCAAAACAAGGAGTTTCTGAAAAAACACTGCATCAAATTTGCATGTAGTTTCATGCTCCACAGTGAGGATATTATGGAGTTCCTTAACATCTCTGTCTACAGTGCCATTGAGCTCAGTATAGCTGGGTAGGCCAATGATGAGGGAAGAGATCCCAGTACCTGCTCCTAGAGAACGGCAATTGTAACTGCTGATATAGGTTCCCTGCAGCTTCGAGGATGGGAAAGGGCGGAGGTCCCTTGGGATTGTTCCCAGAAGTGAAAGAATTCATCAGGCTGGTATAAGCAATATGAGAACAACCTGCACAAGAACGCAGAATGCCAACTCTCGAAGATATAGGTGGAAAGGCAGGGAGTGAGGCCATCGAGGCTGGCCCACCAGGCATTGTTGGGAGGAATCAGCAGGGGACAGGGTAAGGTTGCAGAGACAAGAATGGGTTAAGGGAATTGAAAGTGGGGGGTGCCACACAGAGTCCAGAACCCATGAGCTGGCTAAGGTGAGTTTGGAGGTGGGGTTTTCAGGAGGAGGAGAGGGGTTGGCTATTTTATCTCAGCATGTCAGTTTTCTCTTCTCCATGCATATCTCCAAATGATCCAGTAGCCATCTTGTTTTATTGTTTTCCTGTAAGAAAGCACAAACATTTCCTCCACCCCAAATTGGGTCTTTCTTACTGTTTAGTATATAGGTTGTTTTTATTACTTTTGGAACTCCCATGTAAGGAAAACATCATTGAATAGTTACTTATCACATGTTTAGAAATTTAAATATCAATTGTCATGTGTATATTTTAATTTGTCAAATTTTGTAGTATGAGTAACATCCATTTGCCATGGATGATTAGGAAGTGGACCTCTAGAGTTTATTCCTAAATTAGTTACAGATAAACATTGTGGGTACACCTTATTGTTTGGCAGTTTTGACGAGTAGTCTCTCTAGTTAAACCTAAGAGTTTTGGTTATTTGATGATGAAAGTTATGAAACTGTAGAGTTCTCTCTATCTAAGACAAATCGACCAATTTTATTAATCGATCTGTTGATTCGTTCCCTTTAGCCAGTAGGTAGGGAAAGGCCTGAATGGGCTCCCTAATGTGACCCACGAAACATGGCAATTTTTGTAGGTGAATAGTATTTTGAATTTGTTTAAATAACATTTTAACCTGATATAGTTTTTGTGTATAGAATTGTCTCTATTACTTAAAGAGCCTTAAAAACATGGTTATTAGTATACAAATTAAATAAATCATTTTATTAGACACTGAAAGACCATTGCAATAGCTTGTAACTTGATGAAATTATATTTAAGGCAATTTAGGTAGCTTTTTAACTATATCTGAAGTAAATATATATATATATATATATATATATATATGTACATATAGACACACATTTGTAAATCATATCCAGAGCAATTTAAGCAGTTTTTTTTTTTTGTCGGCATTCATGTATTTACAATCACATATCATGCATTCAGGTGTGGCCACACCGTACACACAGAGCAAGCACACATTCTTCATCTCTCCTTTTGCCCAGGTTATGGCCAGTCTGTTGAAATGAAAAATCCCTAATTGAAATCTCTTGTAACATAGCAGTTATAGCCATTTCTTGAATTATGAGCATCCAAAATTTAAACAGATCTAAATTTTTCTATGGTGTCCTTCTTTTTCCATAAGATCTTAAAACAGTTTTCTGACTGGCTGTATTAATAGTAATTTCTATATATTTGATTGGTCATCAGTGAGACAGAGAAGGGAGTAGCTCCCAAAGGCTGCAAGTCTTTTGGTTTTGGCCTTGGCCTCCCTTGCCTTTTGCCCTCTGGGCTTTCGCTGACCTATTGTAAATGAGCAGTAGCTCCCAAAGGCTGCAAGTGTTTGGTTTTGGCCCTGGCCTCCCTTGCCTTTTGCCCTCTGGGCTTGTGCTGACCTGTTGTAAATGATCTGTGGCTGTAAATTTCTTATCTTCTGTGAGAGTAATTTGGCTAAATCCTTTAAACCTATGGCCTTGGGCTGACCTGTTGTAAATGATCTGTGGCTGCCTGCTGTGGCTGTAAATTTCTTATCTTTTGTGAGAGTAATTTGGCTAAATCATTAAAGTCTCCTGGCCCTTGCTGAACTCCACCACTAGCTCATTGCCTCTCTGTATTTCCAGGTAAAAATGAGGGAGGGTGTGTAGTTTAATCTGTGGGGTTAGCATCTGTTGATGGTGTAGTTTGTACCCCAGATATATATATGGTTTAGCAGTTTGAATTTTATCAGGTATTATTTGGAGCCCTCTTTGAGTTAGGCTGGAAGTTAAATCTAGCAAGCACAGGGAAAGTTGCTTCTGCTGGGCAGCAGCCAAAGAATGTAAACCGAAGGCCACTTTTTTCTAATAGGATTAACAGCAACAAATTTTTAGCATAAGGTGGGGCTGTTGGCCAGAAGGAGGATGTTGGCAGGGTAAAAAGTTCATGGGTGGTGGGGAGAGAGAGTGTTACCTAGGTGAGTGGTGGGAAGGAGGGTTGCTTAGGTAAGTGGGCCTGTGGTTAGAACAAAGAATTGACTGGCAGTAGCCAAAGAATGTAAACAGAAAGCCACTTTTTTCTAATAGGACTAACAGCAACAAAGCTGGAGACAAAAACTATAGAAGGAGGATGTTGGCAGGGTAAAAAGTTCATGGGTGGTGGGGAGAGAGAGTGTTACCTAGGTGAGTGGTGGGAAGGAGGGTTGCTTAGGTAAGTGGGCCTGTGGTTAGAACAAAGAATTGACTTCTGGGTCATGTTGTTCCTTCTAGGTGCTCATGCTTCTAGAAGCCATTTATAATCAAAAGACAGTTCTATAACCCTGTGGCTTGCCAAGTTGTATGGCTCCCAACACTTAAATATAAAACTTCACCTACTGGAGGATTATTTACCAAATGCTCATACTTTTCTCCTTTATAATGGAAGCTGACCTGTGATTTAGATTTGCAGTGATTCAACAACAGAGAGGCTCTCATCAGAGCTCTTCCAATGTGCCACATCTTGCAAGTTACCCCTAGTAACCACCACCCGCTTATCAGAGTGCTGGCTGACACAGAGGAAGAGAACCTTTATTCATAGTTAAGTCCAACGCCTCTGACAGTGGCCTCATCTACACACTATCGTGCCCTAGAGGTGCAGTTTGCCTACTGAAAGAACCTCCGATGGAAGTTAGTATGCACGGAAACAAATTAGGTAGCCAATGCAATCACAAAAGTTCCATGACTTACTGGGGGTGTCTAGGGCTTCCATTTTGCTGCCACCTTCACTGCCTTGAAAGAGATTCCATGCACCTGGTATGGAAGGCTTCTGTTAACATGCCGCCTGCCTAAAGGATAGGATGGTGTGAGAACAGCAAGGTACTGATGCCAACAGCAAATGCTATCTACGGCTCCCTATGTCTTTCAAATTCTTCCAATTGCTTTATGCATATTTTCCAATCTAATCATCCATAAAGTCCAGTATTAGAAGTTGTAATTACCTCTCGTTTACTTATGAGGTAGCCAAGGCACAGAAAACTAATTTGTTTGAGACAATTGCTACTAGCAATAGGCGCTGCGTCTCAGACACAGGTATCCTGCATCTCACTTAGAAGCTGCCTCTCACACTTTCCTTTTTTTTTTTTTTTTTTTTTTTTTTTTTTTTTTTTTTTTTGAGACAGGGTTTCTCTTGTGTAGTTTTGGAGCCTATCCTAGCACTCGCTCTGGAGACCAGGCTGGCCTTGAACTCACAGAGATCCGCCTGCCTCTGCCTCCCAAGTGCTGGGATTAAAGGTGTGTGCCACCAACGCCGGACTCACACTTTCCTTTAGCATCCAGTTCTACCCTAGAGTATTATGCTAACTTTTGTAATCATTGCTTGCATAGCTCTAGTTACTCATCATATGAATTATTAATATTACAACTGAGTGGTACTTTGAACATGTAAAAATTCACCATAATAGGATTTCGACTTTTTTCTCATTTGCCAATTTTGTCAGTTTTTGTATCTGAGAAAATATGATTTCCAAACAAGAATACTGTATTTCAGTATCAGTCATAAGACAGGCATTGACTCAGATCATAATATTTTAGATTTGGTGGGGATAGGATCCCTTTTGCAATAACTCAGTTAACTACACAGTTATTGCACAAAAGGTCCCCTCAGTATGCAGATTAATGCATGGTGGCTGTGTGCTAATAAAATTCTAGAATGAGGGGGCTAGCAGGATGGTTCAGTAGTTAAGAACACTTGCTTCTCTTGCAGAGGATCTGGGTTCCATTCCTAGCATCCACATAGGCAGTTCATACTGCCTGTATTTTCCTCTAGCTCCAGGAGTTCCTATGCCCACTTCTGGCTTTTACAGGCATCTTCACGCATGTGGTGCATCTACACACATTGAAGCACACATACATGCATGCATGCATGCATGCATACATACACATACATATATAAAATAAGTGTTTAGAAATAATTTTAGTGTGAAAACATGTGATAGGAAGGTTTGTCTAGAATATTAGTAAATTTTTCCTTTTAATTCTTTGTTTTAGTTGCAAGAAGCCCAGGATCAACAAAGAGAAGCTGTACAGAGTTCTCAGAAGATGCAGGATCTCATGCAGAAGTATAATTTAAAGGCGCATACACACGGGGCTGGAGAGGTGGCTCAGTGGTTAAGAGCACTGACTGCTCTTCCAGAGGGCCCGGGTTCAATTTCCAGCACCCACATGGCAGCTCACAACTGTCTGCGACTCCAGTTCCAGGGGATCTGACACCTTCACAGACATACATTCAGGCTTTACCAACACACATAAAATAAAATTAATAAATAAAGGCACATACACTTAACCTGAATATTTACAAAGCGAATTATCAGTGTAGTGTAAAAAAATCCTATCAGTCACAATAAGGATAGCTCTGTGAAGGTCAAGGGACATTTCAGCTTTGTGTTCCTTAGGTCTAGGGACACTGCTCAGTGGGATGAATAGGGCATGCTTTGTATGCCCACAGCCCTGAGTTCAATCCTCACACTGTAAAGGAAAAAGGCTTGTGTAATGTTTGTTCATTTTACCTAAAATTTGCACATTCTCTCTAAAACACAGCTAGAAAATGAAACAATATCTACCTCTCAATTTTTTCAGAATCTAAGTCCTTTGTCATTATACAGTGTTGTAAAAGATTCATCTGTAAGAATAACTGTTTATAAAACACATTTAGGCTTCAAGCTCAATGTTCTGAGGCAGAAGTTATAATACAGGAGCAAGGAAAGAAAATCACAGAGCTTTGGAGGCTACATGCAGGTTTGGTGAGTCAGCTTCTTGCTCACCTCTGTCTCATGTTTTCCTTTCCCTAATGAGAACACTGCAGGAAATGTGAAAAGTCCCACTGATACAAATATTTAATGTATTCATATCGATGCCACTTCCTGCTGTTAGTGAAAATCCTCTTTGCTTTATAGGAAGTTTGACTGAATTCATAAGATAATGATTTTGGTAACCTGACTTAATGCATATTATTCTTGATAATTTTTGAGCCAGGGCTACACAGAGAAACTCTGCCTTGAAAAACCAAATGATAATAATAATAATAATAATAATAATAATAATAATAATAATGAAAGAAGAGTGAAATGTTAATCAGTTAGAGTTAGAGCAGTTCTCTGTGTAACCCTGGCTATCCTAGAACTCACTCTGTAGACCAACCTGGTCTCAAACTCAGAGATCCACCTGTCTCCACCTCCCAAGTGCTAGGATTAAAGGTGTGTACCACCACTGCCCAGCAATAAATAATATTTTTAAGAAAGAATAGTTTATACTAAGATTTTTAAGTACTTTTTATATTTTTTCAAAGGCTAGAGACAAAGAGGAACAGCTAAAGAAACTCAACAAAATCATGTCATCTCTGAAGTGTTCTTTGGACCAAAAGAAGAATAAAAATGAAGAATTAGAGAGGGAGTTTACTGAGTAAGATTTTAATATTTCAACTCTCTTCACTCACAGACTTATTTAATTAATTTTATTAACACCTAAATATGAATTCATTTTATAAGTTAACAACCAAAACTTACTGTTCTCTAAAATTCACTTCAGAAACTCACAAGTCAATCTGAAATTTGAATGCTAAAATATGTATACTCTCTAACGATCCTGAAAACAATGATGGCAATACCTTTGGCATGATTCTGTACATTTCTTCATCTACCTTGAATTTTTCTTTCTTTCTTGTTTTTTTTTTTTTTGGTTTGTTTTAGTTCTTTGAGATTTCCTAAATTGCTTTGATATTTACCCTCTCTTCTCCTCCCAGATCCATCCTCTCCTTTCCCACCCACTCAACTTTGTATTCTCCTTTTTTTCACCTACCAACTGTAATCTGTGCTGCCCATATTCCCGAATGTGTGGCCTCCCACTGGCACGTGCTTGACTTTCAGGGTCCACACTAATAAAGAAAACAGACTCTTGTCTCCCAGAAGCTATTAATTGCCCCCTCCAGAGAGGGGTGGCTTCGTGTCCCCCTCCCCTTTCCCTTGCTGAGACAGACAGGTTTGGCTTGAGTTTGCACAGAGCTTGCACATGCTGTCAAAAATCACTGTGGTCATTATATGCAGCTGCCTTGTTGCACCTGCATGGCCACTGTTTCACTGCAGTCATCCACTGCCTCTGGCTCTTACAGTCTTCTGTGCCTTCTTCCACAGTGATCTCTGAGCCTTGGGAGGAGGGGGTAAGGTTCATTTTTCCTTCTTTTCTTCTTCTGGTAGCATCCTTCATTCAGCATTCAAACATTTTCCTACCTAAAACACCAGTATCAAAATTATCTTGATTTAGTTTTTTATTTTCTTTCTGCCTTTCTTTTTTTCAACTATGATATCATGCAGACATATTCCTTTTCTGTGGGTATCACCCATTTGTGCATGACATATACATATTGCTAAACTTGTTCATTACATATATGTATCTACGTATGTATATATGCATAGCTATATGTTTCTGTATATAGACACATACAACTAAAATATAGTCACCCCTAGTATCTGCAGAAGTTTAGCTTTAGGACCCTCCACAAATACCAAAGTCTATGCATAGTCAGCTCTTGTATATAAAATGAGACATATTTACATATAGCTCACAAATATGCACATTTTTCTTCTTTACCTTGATTACTTATTTGTGGATTATTCATAATTGTTAATCATTAGTTAATGCTTCATACTATAATACTAAAGTAGATACTAATAGTTGAAACAATTCAGTATATAATTATAGTTTTATTCTTTATCTGCCATGAATACCACAGAAATTTCCTTCATATTATTTACTTAAGATTATAATTCATTAGAATACTTTCAATAATTTTAAGTTGAAACTTTTGAAGAAATTACGTAAAAATATGATAGAACATACAATCAATTTGAAAAATTGTTAAGCATTTGCTGTTTTAAAAACTTCCCATACTCTGTACACTTTTGCAGAATAAAGAAACACTTAGGAGTAATGAGAAAAAAATTGAATGATCATGAAAATGGAGAATTTAGATGCCATAGAGATTTACAAACTAAAGAACTTGAAGTGAACATTTCAATGGATATGTTAAAAAATGAGGTAATTCTAACTTGTTTGGAAACCAAAAATATAAATGCTTAAATGTTCATACTTAGTGTCAATGAAAATTAATTACTTCTCCATTGAAAAGGTATTGTTGGTATGCAAAGCCAAGCAGTACAAACTCTCACAAACCACTAAATCATGAATAACATTGATTTTATTTGGTTTCGGTGTTGTATGTTGCATGGGATGATCAAAGAAAGAGGGACACTCCAAGATGTAATTCAGGCTCTGTGGTGGCAGGAAGGAACAGTTTCAAGGAAATGAACCTTGAATAGCCATACCAAAGTGAATTTATTGATTGTTACACAAGAGTTGTTTAGGGGCAAAACAAGTTTTCTGCAACTTTAGTCCTTATTGTGTACTGTTTGCAGTAATGCAAGTCACTCCAGGTGTGCCAGGATTGTCAGGTGACTAATGTCACGCAAAGGCTGTAAAGCCCCTTCAGAAAAACAAACTCTATAAATTACAGAAACTAACTAACCACTGTTTTTCACAATGATTTTTTTCAAGGTCTAAGTACTTTTAGAAAACAACTATTTCATTCTAATGTTTACCCTAGATGCAGTGAAAAACAACTATTTCATCCTAATGTTTACCATAGAGACAGTGATTCTACTTGATTTTTCCCTCTACATTTGGCTAATATTCAGGCATCTGTACTGCCCAGTCCTTGGGTTCTGAAAGGATACGCCCTCAGCTGCAGACCCTAAGAGCATCACCTGTGCATATTCACTGTGTTCCCTTTTAAAGG